TATCAGGTGAGGATAACATTAGCTTATCCGAGGAAGCAGCTGGCTTAGACAGAAATACCAGGCTTCTTCTGAGGGTGCAGAGATTCAGGTGCAGGAAAGCCTGTGAGAAAGAGAGGCAGAACTAGGCCTCTCAAGGTCAAAGGAATGTGTTCATGTTTTGCAGTCCTTAAATTAGGGAGAGAGCTGTTAGGATTTGAGATCAAGCAATGTCACTACTTGAGTGAGGAACTCCTGTCTCATCCCTGGTTCATGCCTTAGTTCAGGGGTTCTCAAACTAAGGCCCGAGGGCCGGATACGGCCCTCCAAGGTCATTTACCCGGCCCTCGCTCAAGGTCAACCTAAGTCTGAAACGACTTGGAAGCACACAACAACAATGACAATCCTATCTCATCAGTCAAAAGCAGGTCCACAATTCCCATTGAAATACTAATAAGTTTATATTTGTTAAAATTGTTCTTCATTTTAATCATTGTATTGTTTTAAGTGGGGGGGGGGTTGTACTACAAATAAGATATGTGCAGTGTGCATAGGAATTCATTCATGTTTTGTTTTTTCAAATTATAATCCGGCCCTCCAGCAGTTTGAGGGACTGTAACCTGGCCCTCTGTTTAAAAAGTTTGAGGACCTCTGCCTTAGTTCAAGACCCAAGATTCCTGGTCAAGTTTTGCTTCTTGTTTTATGGATTTACCTTTGGATTCATGCTCATGCCCCTTGTTTCCTGGATTAATGTTGATGTTTTCTGGATTTACCTATTGCCTTTGGGACTTGCTTCTTATGAATGGTTGGATTTTACCCTTCCATTTGCTTAAGGTGCCTCTGGCCCTTTTTTTTTTTTACATGTGTTTTATCAGTCACTGTTTATTACCACATTTGGTTTCTTGGTGAGTGCCATGAGCAAGGTGAACTGCTGAAGTGCAACAGTTAAATTCTAATAGGCCCAATGAAAGCTGACAGATGTAGCACATAAGACAAGGGGAGGGGAGACGAAAGAGAAGGTGGCATGGAAGGAAAAATTAAATATTTCAAAAATAATTCTCCCTATATCCCCATGGGAAGTGATGAGTTCCACCTAATGCAGTGTTGGGGCAGAAGACAAGGCAATTGATTTGGGCACCAAGTTAATTCAGAGAACATGCTAAATCAAGGTATGTTATGATAGATATGCGCAACAGTAAGCTTTCATATTCCCTGTTTTCCAAGCATAACCACAGAGAAGGCATTGACAATTTTTGATTAGCTGTGGTTTGTTGTTCTATCGGAAAACTGATTAGTCTTGGCTGTGGTTGGTTGAAATCGGCCAGATTCAAATCTTGGATTGTTAAACTGATTGCCTAAACAATTAAGATTAAATTGGATTATTTACAATTTGGTTGCTAATTGCTAGCAAATTGACAAGCAACCACATGAATGAGAGACACCCAAGAGAGGATGTAATCAACAGCCCTGGCTAGATCTTGCCAATCGTAGGTAGGACATCAGTGATTTCCTTGACCGTGTCTATCCATCTGTGATAGGGCGTTCTCTTTTCCTATCAGCTCCCACTTTACCAAATATTATTGTCGTTCATAATGAGTCATATCTTATGATAGATCTAAAATGTGACAGTTTCAGCTTAGTCCTCTTGACTTCTAGGGAGAATTACCATTTGGTCTTGGACCTATTTATTTATCTTCTGGCAGTTCATTGTATCTGCAGAACTCTCCTCAAGTACCACAATTACTTAACTCTCTTCCCACCAGCTTTTTTTTCATTGTTCTTAATCATACCTAGAAAATTGAAATATGTTGACATGGACAGTCGACTTTGGTATTCAATGATGTATCTTTATACTTCAATACTATTTCTAGTTACATTACTTCACAGCTGCCTTTCAGAGTCCTGATTTTCTTCTAATATCTTGACTGCGGTCTCTTTCTGATTGGCCCAAGATAGGGAAGATATTCATTTCAGTTTCTCTGTTGTGTATTCTAAAAATTTGTAATCATGTGTGGCCATTGTTTTTATTAAGCCTAAACAATGAACCTGCCTTTGTACTTCTCTCAATAGCCATTTGAGTCTTTATTTTTTGCTGGTAGTATGGTGCTATCTTGCATAATTTAAATGGCTGATGTTCTTTCCCCTTATTTGCACATCTTCTTCCCTGAGTCTAATCCCACTTTGCATATGACGTGTAAAGAAAATCACATTAACAACATACTGCAATTTAAAAGAACTATTTATATCTTTTTCATGAAAAAGTATCACATAAAATCTGAACTGTAGATATTTCCATCTTATTTAAACTTTAGATATGATTCTAAATAGTGTTATACTCACCCAGAAAGATGTCATAATTTTGGTATCAAAAGATACTGAGAGATCTAACTGAAGAAAGAGAATAATTTTCCCTATACCTCTTTTGACGGAGGGTAGCCTGTATGGTGACCAAGGAAATTATAAGTGCAAAAAATATAATTGTATCCTGACTAAAACGGATCTAAAACATCCTTCATCCAAGTGTGTCTGGAGTTACCTAGCAACCACTTACTTGAACACTTTACCTAAAAAGGAAATATTGATTACTGGCGCGAAATATTCAACTTCTACATTGAGGTCAGGATTTTTCAACCATAGTGAAACCCTATCTCCTTCAAGGAAGTAGACACTATTCTTATTTTCCTGGAAATAATAGTACAGTATTTGCTAGATCGCTCGAAGTGGCCTATATAACCTTCCTATTCTCCACTGCTTCATCTTCACAAAATTATGTAGGGCAGGTCAGACTGAGAGAGCCAATCCAAGGTCACTTCATGAGCTCCACAAAATAACAACCTGAACCTCCCAAGTCCTCATCCAGGGTTGTAGGCTGGGGATGGGCAACCTTGGGCAGCTTTTCTCCTTGTCCCTGACAATTAGTTATAATTAACGGAGAGCTGCACCTAGCAATACCTGGAGAGGAACAAGTTGTCCACCATTAGTCTAGCAATAAATTGCAGAGTGTAACAATTTCATGAACTTAACCAGACGTTTCTCCTGATCACATGTGGTCCAACATGATGAATTTGAGTTAAGGCTATAGGGACCTGTCTTAGATTATCTCAGGCATGGAAACACTTTTTTGCCTTGCGACCGCATTGTAACCTCAACCAGGAAAGTTGGGCTAAGAAAGCTGGGCATACGCTGGGTAGGATAGATCCGGAAGGGGGAGGCCCTGGGCAGGGCCAGGAGGGGGCTTATCATCCTCAAGTTATCCTGCATAAGGACAGGCTGCTCACCCCATCCTTATGCCAGGAGGAAAACAAAACATGCGGCAACTGGCCAGATCCTCCTCCCCTATACTCCTCCCTTGAATCTTCGGGCTGTCAGGCGATATCCGAGAGCACTCTGGAAGGCTCTCAGCCACTGAGTGCTTTCCTCAAACCATCCTCCCCGCATAAGGACAGGGCTGCTCCGTCCTTATGCCAGGAGGAGCTTGAGAGAGGAAGTGGCTGAGAGCCCTCCAGAGGGCTCTCAGCTGCTGCGTGCCTTCCTCCTCCATCCTTTCTGCATAAGGATGCAGCAGCCCATCGCAGCCACCTCTGGAACTCCCTTCCTAAGGAGTTAAAGATGCCCCCCTCCATCCCTCCCTTCAAGAAACAGCAAAAGACGTACTTTTGTTCACTGGCTTATGAGGAGGAGGAGGAGTTGGTAACATTACCATTATACATCTGATTAATAGCTACCATCCATATCCGTGACCTGTTCACTCCACCAGCTCAGTGGATATCTTGAGCAATTCAATCTGCTTGCCGCCAAGGAGCTGGGAAATGGATGCTTCTGTTCGATGTTTGATGTTTTGTCTTATGTCTGATATAACAGGCTGTGTTTCTTATTTTATTTTAAGTATTAAGTCATAATTTGTTTTTATATGTTGAGTTGCCAAATTTTGTTACTATGGATGCATTGTTGTGTTCGGGCACTGAATGTTTGCCTTTTATGTTTGGAATCCGTCTTGAGTCCCTCCGGGGAGATAGTGCAGAATATAAATAAATTATTATTATTATTATTATTGTTATTATTACGCTAAGAGGACAGGGAAAATGAGAAGGGCCTGAGGTAAGCAACCAGGGGGCCATATCCAATCCGGGCCTTAGTTTGCCCATAACTAGATTATCTGAACACCTTGTCCTCATTTTTGGATCTCAACAACTGAAAGTCAATCACATGATCTTGACCAGACTGTGCTCTGGATCTCTCCATGGATAGTGCTGTTGCTAACGAAGACCCTAGTAATCATGCAGTCGACCAGTGAAATATTGCTGCCAACAAATTATAGTGTGAATAATTGTTCATCAAATAATAATTTATATACACATCTCATCTTAATGAAATAAAGTTATGTGCATTTCTTAGCACCTAGCTAAGTGCCTTTTAACCTTTTTACATTTGCTGTGGTATGAAATCAAGTTGTATTGCAGATGTGCCACTCAAATCAACTTAATTCTCTTTTATGACAGAGTCTCTCAAATATGTACATTACTTTTGAAGCAGGCTTTTATTTAATTATTCCCAGGGAGGTAATGGGCATGCATATTCCATTTTTCCTCTGCTTTTAGCATTTAAATCTTTTTTTTTCTAACCATTTTATACTTTTTTTCCAACTGTTTTCTAATGTATTATTTTTGTTTTGTTATTGTGTTGTTTTAACTCATTTTATCTGCAAGCCATCTTCAATCCCACTTCAATAGAAAGGTGCCATATATAAATACAATAAATAAAAATAAAATTTAAAAAATCTGCAGAGAAATTTGGGCATAGTGATTGTCTGTATTCTAGGTTATAGTCAGAAAGTATCCACTTAACTTTGACTCAATTCAGTATGATGTTCAATGTATTTTGACTTTTTTTTCTTACAATTACCTCTTATTGTAGTATTCCAGTGTACATATTCTGAATCAGAAAAAAAAACATGTTTGGCTACTTGTATACTATATTGACATGTATACTAAATTACAGTTTCACTGTCTTCTTCATTTTTTCAGTACTTTCCTGTACCTGAAATTCCTGGTAGTTTGGGCCCTTGTTCTGCTGGCTGATTTTGTGCTGGAATTCAGATTTGAATACCTGTGGCCATTCTGGCTTTTCATCAGGAGTGTTTATGATTCCTTCAGATACCAGGGATTGGTATGTATAACAGGAGTGATTTTATTCTCTTTTTAAAATTAGTCGCATTAAAATGAGTAGCAACTCATTTAAAAAAAGAAAAAAAATCTGTTGCATCTTAAGAACTCTTATGTGCATAGGCCCAGAGTGTTTTAGTACATACGCATGTGGCAATATTAATTTCTGAGCCTATCCCTCACGATACCTAGTTTTTAAAAGCATTTTTCTTCCTCTCAAATGTACGAGGAGGAGGAAAGTCTCATCCATATTCCTGTCCAGGCCATTTTAGTATAAAAGTAAAGATAAAGGTTTCCCCTTGACATTAAGTCTAGTCGTGTCCGACTCTGGGGGGGTGGTGCTCATCTCCATTTCTAAGCCAAAGAGCGGCATTGTCCGTAGACACCTCCAAGGTCATTTGGCTGGCATGACTGCATGGAGTGCTGTTACCTTCCCACAGAAGCGGTACCTATTTATCTACTCACATTTGCATGTTCATGTTTTTGAACTGCTAGGTTGGGAGAAGCTGGGGCTAACAGCAGGAGCTCACCTGCTCCCCGGATTTGAACCACTGACCTTTTGGTCAGCAAGTTCAGCAGCTCAGCGGTGTAATCTGCTGCGCCACCAGGGGCTCCCCCATTTTAGTATAGGAAACCCTTTTTTAAAAATATGGAAAAATGAACTGGAAGTCACTTCTGGATATCTTTCTCTTTTTAATAATAAAAGGCCTCTCCTGGGCCTAAAATGTTGGATATAGCAACCTTCCAAGCCTCCACTAACTGTTTGTAAATGTGTATAACTGTTAATCTATATTGTATTTACATTTTGGTTTGCCAGTTTGATGATATCTCTTTGATGTGGGAGGGGCTTCAGACACAGGACTCAATTTTTTATTCAGTGGAGGTGCATGCATACTGCTGTTTGGATTTTAGTAGAAAAGTATGACTTTAATGAGTACAGCTATACTTAAAGACCATGGACAATTGATTAAGTAGCGTACCCTGTGTATTCAACACAGAGAAGAAACTTCACTTTATCTAACTGAACTCTAATAAGAAATGTGCCTGTATGGTGAATTAATACAAGTTGTTTATGAGTAAACAAGATTTTTATTTCAAAGAAGACTTTTTTAAAATTTCTAAGCGCATATTTTAACGAAGTGGTTTTAAGGGAGTGTATATCTTTTGGGCAATTACAACTTCAACTTAAAAAAAATTTTCTAATCCTCTGCTAACCAACATATTTTTGTAGTGGCATGTCTTTATCCTTGGCCGTCAGACATGGTTCTTCGGTTTAACATCTGAGTTATCTGTGTGCCATTACATTAATGCTTGTGAATATCACTTGTTCAAAGAGTTGACTTCTTACAAGGTCATGCTTTTTTTTTACTAGTGATTTTCAAATGATGGAGATTCACATTTGCCAAACGGATGTGACATCATTTTTACCTTTTCAATGAGATTATGGTGCACTTATTTCCAATAGTTATGGAATTTCCAATATAAATCCCTTGTTTTAAAAATGCAGATTGAAGGGGCCTGTTTAAATCTATGCCAAAAAGTAAAAGAATGGTCAGATGAATAACATTTATCTGGCAGATCCAAGCGTGGGATCTGGACTTACTTTGCTACTTACATATCAATGCCTGACCTTTGATTAAGTTTGTGTTCTGCAACTATAACCTAAAAATAGTATTCTACCTCTTGGAGATGGAGTTGGAGATATTGCAGCACAATACCCATTTAATTATAGGCGAGACCCATAATATTTAGTGTTTGGATAATACTGCTGATGGCAGGAAACACTCATACAAGATTTCCACAATGCAGTTTTCCTCAGTCATTAGTATTGTCTCTGTATTGCAGTCTTTACAGTTGCATAGTGAGTCCTTGGCTGAGATGAACCTAACAGTTTGTGTAGATATGCAAAGGGGGGATGTGCATGGTGAAAGACATTTTATAAAATACTAGCTGTGCCCTGCCACGCGTTGCTGTGGCCTATAGTAAATGTTTTCAAAGTAGAGGTTGATATCTGGACTATTATGATAGAGTGGTACCTACCTATTCCTTCCCCCCCTTTCCTCCCCCTTTCTCTCCTTTCTTCCTTCTCTACTTCTTTCTTTCTTTCCTTCTTTCACTACTTGGTTTCATCCTTCTCTTTTTCCTTCATTCCCTCCCCCTTTCTTCCTTTGCCTTTCTTCCCTCCCTGTTTGCTTCCTTCTTTCTTTTTTATTTCCTTTTATTTCACCACCATCATAACAATAACAATAATGCAATGCATTGCCTCTGGGACCTGACACCTCTCCCATTCCCCCAGGGTCTAATAGGAATAATAGCATAATAATAATAGAAATAACAACCTTTACCCGCCACGTGTTGCTGTGGCCAACCTTCCCTCTTTCTCTCCTTCTTTCCCTCCTTCCTTCCTTCCCTTCCCTCCCATCTTTCCTTCTCCTCTTCCCTCTCTATCTCTTTCCTTCCTTCCCCCTTTTTCTTTCTCTTCGGTTGTGTTGCGTGTGTGTGTGGCGGCGGGGGGGGAGTGGGGTTGCATGTGTGTGTGGCGGCGGGGGGAGTGATGGAGCGTGGGGTTGCGTGTGTGTGTGCGGCGGCGGGGGGAGTGATGGAGTGTGGGGTTGCGTGTGTGTGTGCGGCAGGGTGTGTGTGTGCGGGAAGCGGCGCGGCGGGGCTTGGAGTGGGCATGGTTTCCGCAGAGGGAACGTTGGCCGGAAGGGCATGTGCGCGCGCCAGGGAACTTGCGGCTGGGCGCCAATGCGCATGCTCAGTTGTTTTGCCGTTTTGTGAGTGTGTTGTTGTGTTGTTTTTCATTTTGAGTAGATATGTTTGTACCTTGTGGGTTGTGTTATGGGCATGGGAATTTTGGTTAAGTTTCGTTGGGGTTTTTTAGAGTTTTGCTGTCCCGTTGGACTCGCCTAACAGATTTATATATATAGATAGTCACAGCACTACCTCTATAACTGTCTTGGCTGCATCCTAAAAGCAATATTGATAAGTTAACATTATCAATAGTTGTTGTTTTTGCTTATTTACTAATGTCAATTTTTATGATTTCCCTCAGAATGCACATTTATGAAAAGCTTAAATAAAAAAAGCATTGTTATGAATTGTATTAATTATCAGTTATATTTAAAATAAACACAATTTTTCATTTTTCTTCCCCCCTTGTTTTGTGTTTTCTTTAGGCCTTTTCAGTATTTTTTGTTTGTGTAGCATTCACATCAAATATCATATGCTTACTCTTCATACCGATACAGTGGCTGTTCTTTGCTGCCAGCACATATGTTTGGGTACAGTATGTCTGGCATACAGGTAAGCCATTTTACTTGATCCATTTAATTTATGGAATATGAATTATAAATCAAGGTACCCCATTATGCCTTTCAGTTAGCACAGCCAGATTTCCTTTCAGCAGTCCTTAGTGCAGACTCAAGTTGTCAATGTGTGTTATTATAACTGTTGGGTGATATTAGAATTGCCAGATATCAGGATTGCAAATCAGAGGCGAGGCTAGTTCATACAAAAGTTGGCATCTGGAGGACAAAATTAAAAAAAATGTGGTTTTGAACTAGAATTGGTGGACTGGTTGGGTTTAATGCTTTTAGACACCAAAATAGAAACAATCAAAGGAAACAGGGGAATTTATTTATTTGTTTATTTATTTACTTTATTTATATACCGCTTTTCTCAGCCCTCAGGCGACTCAAAGCGGTGAACAACATCGATACAAAACATCAATTAAAAACAATTGTAACATAAATCATTAAACATCAGTATAACAATCTTTAGCACCTCAACAGTAAAATCAGAATCCAGTCTCATCATCCATTATTCCGTATTCCTATGTTCAGTTACACTGTTTAATCAAATACTTGTTCAAACAGCCAGGTCTTCACTTTCCTCCGAAATGCCAGCAGGGAGGGGGCCGATCTGATATCTGCAGGCAGGGCGTTCCACAGCCAAGGGGCCACCACTGAGAAGGCCCTGTCTCTTGTCCCCACCAAGCCCGCCTGTGATGCAGGCGGGACAGAGAGCAGGGCCTCCCCAGATGATCTTAGTGTCCTAGTCGGTTCATAGGAGGAGATGCGTTCGGAGAGGTAAGTAGGGCCAGAACCATTTAGGGCTTTATAGGCTAACGCCAGCACTTTGAATTCCAGACATGAAACAATCAGGGCCAGCTAACACCTCCCAACAAAGGATTCACCCAGGTAGGAAGCAGCCAGGCCTTGAAGATGCAAGGCTTTTCAATACTAATCAAGGTGATTAATTGCAACGTTCACACCTGCCTCCAACATACAAGCTTTCTTTCTTCCACCCTGGACATTATTCCACAAGTATATAAACCTCACTTGCCTAGTTTCCAACTGACCTCACAACCTCTGAGGATGCCTGCCATAGATGTGGGCGAAGCGTCAAAAGAGAATGCCATACAGCCCGGAAAACTCACAGCAACCCAAGACATCTCTTTTCAGAGTGTTGTTGTTTATTTACTGAACTAATTTTAGAGTTTCTTAATACTGGTAGCCAGATTTTGTTCATTTTCTTAGTTTCCTCCTTTCTGTTGAAACTGTCCACATGCTTGTGGTTTCAATGGCTTCTCTGTGTCACCAGACATGGTGGTTGTTAGAGTGGTCCAGCATGTCTGTGTTCTCAAATAATATTCTGTGTCCAGGTTGGTTCATCAGGTGCTCTGCTATGGCTGACTTCTTTGGTTGAGTTAGTCTACATGCCTTTCATGTTCCTTGATTCGTGTCTGGGCCTTGCTGCATTCGGTGGTCCCTATGTGGACTTGTCCACAGTTGCATGGCATACATTACACTCCTGCAGAAATGAGAGGATCAGTCTTGTCCTTTGCTGAACATAGCATTTGTTGGATTTTCTTAGTGAGTCTTTAGACAGTTTGTAGATTGTGTATTTTTATCAGCTTCCCTATGTTGTCATAGGGACAATAATCAATCAGGACCAACTAACACTTCCCAACAAAGGATTCCCCCCAGCAGCAATCAGCAAGGCATTGAAGCTGCAAGGCCATTCAGTGCTAATCAAGCTGGCCAATTGCAACATTCACACCTGCCTCAAACAGATAAGACTTCTTTCTCCCACCCTGGGTATTATTCCACAGATATATAAACCTCATTTGCCTAGTTTCCACCTCACTTCCCAATACTTTGCATTAAAATATGGATAGTGCAACAAGACATTGTTGGGGAAAAAAAACATTTACCTGCTAATTATCGAGGAAAATGTAGAAGAGCTTAAAGAGGATGATTAATCAAAAAGTCCAAGAGCCTTGCTGCACCAATGCCAACCAAGCTTAATTTGATTTTAAAACAGAAGCCTGAGATCTGACAATTGTATTTGTCGTGAATTGTATTTAAACCAGATATGGGCAAACTCTGCAGGCTGATAGGAATTGTGAGAGTTAAAGTCCAAATCCTCTGGAGGGCCCAAGTTTGCCCATGCCTGATTTAAACCCTTGAGTTTTTTCACCATTCAGGTTCTTGGAGGTTTGCTTTTTAGAATGTACTTCTTAGTTCATGCTTTCAGCGAACATGATTCACCACAAACTTTATTGCAATGGTTCCCAACCTGTGGACCGTGGACCACCAGTGGTCCGTAAGAACGAAAATGTGATCGTAGCAACGGGAGTGCCGGGTCTCACAAAACCATCTTATAGTACTGAGGCAACGAGGATGTCGGGAGGGGAGAGGCTGACTATCCAAGAAAGATTGCTACTACCACATCAGCTCTAGATTATTAAATATGGTTTTCTGTGGGTGAGCAGAAGGCAACTATTGGGTGGCATATGATCTTTATCAGAAACTAGAGCTGATGTGGTCTATCTAATGCAGTTTTCTGAATCAGTGCCCCAAATAACCAAACTGAATTTAAAGTTGACCAAAAACTGATTTATTTATTTATTTATTTATTTACTCTATTTGTATACCGCATATATCAGCCTGAGGCGGCGACTCAATGCGGTTTACAGTAAAAGCAACACTAAACAATATATGAGACGCACAATACAAACAAKACACATAATCATCAARGCCATACTTAGAATCAGATTCCGATCTCWAYYTCCTTTTCKATTCCTTGTCTGATGCCYTCATTATTGAGTTAGTTGTTACTACARAGTTATSCAAARGCCTGCTCGTAGAGKCACGTCTTCACCRTCCTCCGAAACACCAGCAACGAAGGGGCCTGCCTGATGTCCACCGGTAACGCATTCCATAGCCGAGGGGCCACCACCGAGAAGGCCCTGTCTCTCGTGCCCGCCAGCCGCACTTGCGACGCCAGCCGCACTTGCGATTTGTAACCCTTTTGATACTAATGTTAGAGAGTGGTCACTGGTCAAAGTGGTCCATGATCAAAGTGATCCCTGGTCAAAAAAAAAAAAAAAAGGTTGGGAACCACTGCTTTACTGGAATGAAACCAAGCTTATAGAATCAGAAAATCTTCAAGTTGAAAGAGATCCCAAAGGCCATCCAGTCCAACCTCCTTCTGCCATGCAGGAAAAACACAATCAAGTCCCCACTAATAGATGACCATCCAGCCTCCAAAGAAGGCATCTAGGTGGCATCTCCCACTGCCAAATAGTTCTTGCTTAGGTTTAGGTGGAATTGGTGGAATCCCCCCCCCCCCCTTGAAATTTGAATCAATTGCTTCATGTCCTAGTCTCCAGAACAGCTCTTTTGGGCAAAAGTAATGCATTTTAATTTTTTAAATCTGTTGTAAATAGGTTGTTGTGAGTTTTCCAGGCTGTATGGCCATGTTCCAGAAGCATTCTCTCATGACATTCCACCTGCATCTATGGCAGGCTTCCTCAGACCTCACAACCTCAACCTCTGAGGATGCCTGCCATAGATCCAGGTGAAACGTCAGGAGAGAATGCTTCTGGAACATGGCCATAAAACCCAGAAAACTCACAACAACCCAGTGTTCCAGCCATGAAAGCCTTCGACAATAAATCTGTTGTAAATGTTTTTTTATTATTATTTTCTTAAGACTCTCCTAGGAATTCTGGTTGCTTTTTAACTGTTAATAATACTTTTTCTGTCTCTCTTCAACAGAGAGGGGTGTGTGTTTACCAACGGTATCACTGTGGATACTGTTTGTTTATATTGAAGCAGCAGTTAGATTTAAAGATCTTAAAAACTTCCATGTAGATCTTTGTCGGCCTTTTGCTGCACACTGGTAAGTATTCATTCCAGTTATATTTTTATTTAGATCTTGGTGTCAGGTTCATGGTCACATCTGTCATTTCTAAGCAACAGCTGCTTTTGTGAAATTAGACCACTAAAGTTTGAATTCTCTAAGCCGGATGTGGAAATGCTTTACCTGAAGGGACTGTGGCACTAGGCCACTTATATTCGTATTGTGTTTTTTTCTGTGCAGATAATAAACTGCAGCTCCTCAATATTAAAGACAAGGGTAACCAGTCAGAGGCTGATATGCTGTTCTTCTGTTCTGTAAAATGTAGAGCTGCTGAAGATCAACATCTTGACTTCGCAGAAGCCTCTCAGGACAATAGACAGGGATATCAGTAACTGGGTTGTGTATTAACTCTGACAGGCCCTTGAAGGGAATGCAATTGAGCCAAATCACCAGGAGTACATGCCTTCATTTCAGATAGAATCACAAGTTTTAGACTGCACTCCTCTCTAGTGTGTTTGTGTTGCTGTTCAATTACTCCTGGCAGTCAGATTTGATCCCCCCACCCCCCAATAATTGATAAGGTCACAAAAACTCATGAATAATATATTTTTTCTTGATCACCAATAGTGGTATTATTCTATTGTAACTTTATTGGTGTTAATCCATGTTTCTCCCTTCATGTATACATAATCGCACGTTAAATTGTTGAAACAAATATTATTGTCATTTTCACCCTTCCATTAAGAATTCTTAATTCATGACTGCCTTTATATATTCAGGCAATCCCCGAGTTACAAACATCCGATTTACAAACGACTTATAGTTACAAACAAGGTGAGACAACAGAAAGTGAGAGAAAACTCCCCAGGAAGGGAAATCCACTCCTGGGAGAGTTATTATCATGGGGCAAAAGGGTCTCCGCTGAAGCTTTCTCACCAATCCTTGTTTCCACAACAAGCCGCATTTTTCAAAATCCAATAATCACAGGGACAGAAAGTTAAGTGAAAAATTCTGAATGAGGCACAGACAGCAAAGGAAACACCACATGGGTGTTAACCCTTCCTTATGCCATACAAATATATATAAGGTTGGTGATTCGAATCCGAGGAGCAGGGTGAGCTCCCGCTGTTAGCCCCAGCTTCTGCCAGACTTGCAGTTCAAAAATATGCAAATGTGAATAGATCAAGAGGTAATGGTGCTCCATGCAATCATGCTGGCCATATTACCTAGCAGGCATTTATGGACAACACCTGCTCTTTGGCTCATAAATGGAGATGAGCACCATTCCCCAGTCGGACATTACTAGACTTAATATCAAAGGGAAACCTTTACCTTTACTCTCTCTCTCTCTCTCTATATATATATATATAGTTACAGTAGAGTTTCACTTATCCAACCTTCGCTTATCCGACATTCCGTCTTATCCGACGCTCTTATCAGACGCAGTCCTTTTCCTCCAGCATTTCCCCTTCAATTAAAGGAATGGTCCCCAACTCTCTCTTCATTCCCAATAAGTGAAAAAGGCAAGACAAGGAGGAGGAGGTGGGAGGAAAGGGGGGGGGGGGGAAGAGGCGGAAGCGTCCTCTCTCCTTCCCTCTATGATTTCCATGCTCCTCCTCCACATCTGGGCATTTCCTGCTGGGTCACTCTAGCCTCAAGGGTTGCCTTGCCTTAACCCTTTGAGTCCCTGTTGTTATTATTTTAGGTTTCTAGTGCCACCTCAGATGAGTAAATGTCCATATTATCCGACATTTTTGTTTATCCAACGTTCTGCCAACCCATTTATGTCGGATAAGCGAGACTCTACTGTACACTTAAAAATGTACCTGTTTTGACTTACATCCAAACCTAAACAACCTATCTTGTTTGTAACTTGGGGGCTGCCTGTACATAACTGCATATTATATTGTTAATACCGTCGTCATGTTGTCCCATTTCATAGACAATGTTTTGCTTCATGCTGGGATTTTCATTCGCTTACTCTTTATGATTCTGTCTCTATTAACAAAGTCATCACTTTTGTTCTAGTATCGGTTATCCTGTGGTGACTTTGGGCTTTGGCTTCAAAAGTTATGTTAGCTATAAAATGCGATTAAGAAAGCAAAAAGAAGTGCAGAAAGAAAATGAATTTTACATGCAGCTTCTGCAGCAAGCCCTGCCGCCGGAACAGCAAATGCTACAAAGACAAGAAAGAGAAGCAGAAGAGGGTGAGTTCTGGATTATTACAGACCTGGGAGCAAGCATAGTGATTTGGAAGCAAATATGTGTCTCTCTTCTCTCCCTTTGCTTTTCTGGAATTATTTCCTCTTTCAATGGTAACTTTATGTTGCTAATGCAACAATGATTCATGGCCATTTTTGTTCTTCTTTTGATTACTTCCGTAGAGTTTTTGGAAACAGAGTCTGGCTATAAACAAAATAGCAGTTGCTATCCCACTTGTCTGACTGTCCACAACTATTACTTACTTAAATTTGGATAGCTATATCATAGGATTTTTGTGATGAAAAACATTCAGAAGTGGTTTATCAACAGCCCTATTCGAGTGTTACTAACTCAGGGCTATGGCTTCCTTGTTTGAATCGATCCATTCATAACGTGGTTACTTCCAATGACATTTCAGGTTATATCAAGTGCTATGAACGTGTAGCCCAGCTCCTGTCAATGTCCTCCCCAAACACCATATTGCCCACCACCCAAAGAATGCTTTCATTCAGGAACAATTTCATTCTAGATTTACATGTTTCTTCCACTACAGAGACATCCCAGTGTTACTCTTTCCATTGGTGTGGAATCTGCATAATCCTGCCCACTGCCTCTCCCTTAACCCTTTCCTACTCTTTTCAACTCTGTCTGCACAACAAACAGAGCTGAACTAATCAGCAACTACACATGCTGGAGGAATTTGTGGGACTGACTCCACATGATGGAAGTTGTAGTTCACCCTGCATCAAGTTAGAGCACTATGACTCCCACTGACCATGGACCTGGACCACATTTGGCACACAGAACGCACGTGACCAACAAAAAATACAGGAGAGCTTTGGGGAAAATTCATCTTGATTTATAGCTGTTATAGGTACTGGGATTTATAGTTCACTAGAGAGATTTGAGGGGACTGACTCAACATAATGGGAATTGTACTTTACTCTATACCCAGAGAGCACACTGAACCCAACTGATGATGTTTCTAGAGCCAACTTTTCCAACATAACAAACTAAGTATTCATGGAGTTTTTCGGGGTTAACCTGGTATGATGTAAGTTGTAGTTCACCCACAAACTTATGCATTTAAAAAAATGACTTTTCCAAATTACCCGGTCATTTATCATTTTATAAAAATGATAAACCTAAACAATTGATCAGATTGATGAAGCAGCAGAAGCCTGCTTCAGAAATTCTCCAAACAGATATGTATTATGCTGGTAATGTAATTGTTTCTAATTTGAGATTTCTACATTATCTGGGGAGAAAAAATGTTTTAAAGTATAAATGTAAATACCTTATACAAAGGGCTATGAAGTTTATAATACAAGTTTTAGTTTAAATTTCCACTGCCAGTTGCATTCCGAGAATTTTTGGTCTTCTCATTGTGATGTCACTGTGTATTTCCTGCATACATAAGATGTCACACAAAATGTCCTCAGACATTTTGGCGAGTAGCTCTTCCTTAGCAAGTGACAAAACTTCTATATTAATTGACATAATAGTTAGTGACGGTCTTGATAAAGACCTTTGGTGTTCATCCATATGTGGAGGAAAAAAAACACACGTTCAATTTAAAATGTTTTAAAACAATGCTTTTGGATTTGGAAAGATTAGCCGTTTACAAGACGTGTTGCCCAGGGGACGCCCGACTGTATTTACTCAGTCTTCGAGGAGGCTCCTTCTGTGTCTTTTATGTAGGAGGCGCTACCTAAAAGAATCCTCCACCTTGTGTGACTGTGAAGCAGAACAGACAACCCTGCATCTGTATGCTTGTCCGCAATGTCCTGCCTCACATACATAGGAGGAATTATTGGGGGCTACAAACACTGCAGTTGCAGATGCACGTTTTTGGTCAAAAGATATTTAGCCACTTGTGCTCCTTCTATTTATACTAATTTTGTACTAATTTATGCAATGATTTTGATACAAAATAAATAGTTTAAGTTTTAAATGTTCTCTTTTTCACATTCCAGCAGCCAAAGGATTGTCAGAGATGGATTCTTCAATACTTTTACAACACAATGGAGGTATTCCAGCTAATAAAAAGTTATCTGCAACACTACCGGAACTAGAATATAGAGAAAAGGGGAAAGAAAAAGACAAGGATGCCAAAAAACATAACCTTGGAATAAATAACAATATACTGCAACCTGTAGACTCTAAAATACAGGAAATTGAATACATGGAGAACCATATCAATAGTAAAAGATTAAATAATGATCTTGTGGGAAGTACAGAAAACCTCTTAAAAGAGGACTCATGCACTGCCTCGTCCAAAAATTACAAAAATGCTAGTGGAGGTGTGAACTCCTCACCTCGCAGTCACAGTGCAACTAATGGGAGCATCCCTTCTTCATCTGCTAAGAATGAGAAAAAACAGAAATGCACTAGCAAGAGTCCAAGCACACACAAAGACTTAATGGAAAATTGTATTCCTAATAACCAGCTGAGCAAACCAGATGCACTGGTAAGGTAAGTTTGATATGTTAGTGACCTAGTTTCTTTTACTTTCCTGCTGTTTGTTTTCTGAGTAAGTTAAGATGCCTTTTACAAGAAGGCTTAGGGTAAGAGCCATGTAAGAAAGTATAAGTAACTGAAAAATATATGCTTGTATTTGCATGTATATGTAGACTTTTGTGTGAGGAATTGTTAGACACCCTTTGGAGTGAGTTTGTTTGTTGGGGCTTCCAGAAAACAGTACGACTTACATTCTACTTGCAATGTGTACTTTATGGGAAATGGAGATCATTGGATATAGTGATATATGGGATAGATTGTGATAAGCATATTAAAGAGCCTTGCTTGAAATATTGACATACTGACATGTTCAAAGGGAAAGCCTTCCTCTGTGTTGTTGACGTTGTCTATTTTGTTTTAAAGTTTTCCTTCCTGGACTTGTAGCACTAATGATGGAGATCTGTGTTTTTGGACTTATGGTGCAAAGAAATCCATACCAGGACTGGAAGGAAAGAGGAGTTCTAATAGAGTTGGTACATTTATTGGATCTGCAATATATCTCAGTAATTCATTACAACAATTACGCCAGACTTACAACTTGGGTAATTGGAGGCTTGAGACTTGATTTGGAAGATTTTTGACTGTTGTCAAAATAGCTTTTTGTGAAAAGTCTACAGAACGGATTCATACAGTAGTTCCTAATTCCATTATCATTTGTCCTCTGGCATATGTGACAACAGGATCAGCCCTCCTGTTAATATTTGTGATAGCAATGACAGTTGTTTTAGCTATTTACACTACTTGGGTCTCAGAAGAACCGTGCAGTGACATAGGACATTAACAACTTCTGTGATTCTGTGATCATCACATCTCTCCAAGTTCAAGCTGGAAGATCATTGCTTTGCCGTACATCAGCATTGTGAGGATAATGTTCCTCCTCTGTTTGACTCTTTCAAACTACTGGGGATGTGACACAGAGGTGCAATGTATGGTCCGGGGCAAAGGGAGGACAGGATATTGGCAATTATTTGTTTTGATGCTGCTTCTTAGGCGATCCCTCGTAGCCCGATTATGATGGCCCTCAAAGCGCAGTGCCTTGGCAGTGGGTCCCTATTCTTGATCCACATGTTCTCTCACAGTGAGGTGGAAGGTGGTCATGGTCAGGATTGGCTTGACATGCCTTCCTCTTGCCACATTTCTCCCTTTCACCCTTCATTCGTGCCTCATCAAATTCTGCAGCACTGCTGGTCACAGCTGACCTCCAGTTAGAGCGCTCAAGGGCCATGGATTCCCAGTTCTTGGTGTCTATGCAACAGTTTTTAAGGTTAGCTTTAAGCCCATTTTTAAATCCCTTTTCCTGTCCATCAATATTATGTTTACCATTGAGTTGGGAGTATAGTAACTGCTTTGGGAGACAGTGATCGGCTATTCAGACAATTTGGCCTTCAGTCCAGCAGAGTTGATGGCAGATAATCATTGCTTCAATGCTGGTGGTCTTTGCTTCTTCTTCCAGCATGCTGACATTTGTCTGCCTGTCTTCCCAAGAGATTTGCAGGATTTTTCAGAGGCAACGTTGATGGAATTGTTCCAGGAGTTGACTGTGACGTCTGTAGACAGTCCACGTTTCGCAGGCGTATAGCAGAGTTGGGAGGACAATACCTTTATAAAGAACCACCTTTGTCTACATACAGATGTCCCGGTCCTCAAACACTCTCTTCTTCATTCGGAAGAATGCTGCACTCGCAGAGCTTAGGCAGTGTTGTATTTCAGTGTCAGTGTTGACTTTTGTGGAGAGGTGGCTGACAAGGGAGTGGAAAGGGTCAACATTTTCTAATGTTAAACCGTTAAGCTGTATTTCTGACATTGTGGAGGGATTGGCTGGTGACTGCTGGAAGGGCACTTTGGTTTCTCAGTGTTCAATGAGATGCAGCTACCGAAAGGCAATCAAAATGTGATAGAATCTGAGTGAATCAAACAATCAAAGAAACCTAAAGCAGAATGGCAATGAATATGTGAAAAAAAAAACCTTTGGAAAATGTCATTGTGTTTCAACAATACCCAAATTGTGGGACTGTTCTGCAAAACTATGGAGTTCCTTTTCATATGTATGGTTTCATTTTGCTGCTGTCAACCATATTTCTTACTGCATCTTTCCTATGCTGTTGAAGTAGATAACATCTTGCTTCTTTGTTGTTTTATAATGAGGGATCAAAACTATATGTCAGATTCAAAGGTTCTCAACCAATGTTTCTTATAAACCTGGGGTTCTGTGAAAAGTTGATACGGAATCCGGGAATGTTACAATTGATTTTAAAAACAAGTATTTTTGACGTGTAAATATAATAATTCTTATGCAATAATTTGCTTAGAGTAGAAGCTTGAGGAATGCTGATCTCTGATGTATGATGATCTGAAACTCAAATAAGAGTGGTGTTGTGTGCTTAGAGTTGAAGTGCTGTATCTAAATATTTGAAAACAAATCTTATGAAAGAACTGAGAACTTGTTTCTAAGCAAATGGAATAACAACAAGGAAGAACACACATTTAGTTTGAAAGTGCCAAATGGCAAGTGATATAGAAAAAACATAGTCCTGAGATGGTGTCATCCTTTTGCATTTATCTAGAAATTCAGGCAGGAGAACTTACTTAATCTCTTTTGAATTATTTTTATTCAGAAACTAGCTGTACCTAGCCACGTGTTGCTGTGGCTCAGTCTGGTTAAATGGAAGAGAAAGAAAAGAGAAAGAGCTTGTTTCTAATATATGTAATTTCATTATGCTTGTGGATATACAATATTTTTTGTTGATCCCTTGTTTGTGAAATAATGATAATGGTTAATAATAATAGTAATAGTAATAGTAATAATGGCAATGATTCTGGTCTATATAATAATAATCAGTGTTTTTTGGGGAAACCCTTTCATTTCCTTCCCTCCTATTGAGCTCTCCCTTCCTATCATTCAATCCTTCCTTCCTTCTGAGCCTCCAGTCATCCTGGAGGCACGGGCATGAGGCGGTGCCAGGCAAGGCTGGGCAAGGTGTGAGGCTATGGGAGCCCGGGGCTTGGGCTGGGCCTGCCTCTTTGCCTGCCTCATTCCCTCCCTCCCCTGGCCCCGTGCCCTGCCCCTCTCCCTGGCCTGGATTTCCTTCACTGCCCTGCCACCCTTTTCCCTCTCTTCTTCTCCCAGTTCTGGTCTGGAGGAAGGCAGGCAGGCACGTCCGGTGGGGGACGGCCAGGCCGTGGATCCCTAATAGCGACTCTGGCCCTGACTGGGTTGCTTCACAATGTGTTGCTTGGACATCCAGCAGATGGCACTGTTTTTGATGCCGAACATGTTTTACCTATTGCAGGTGTGACATCTATGTAATAGTAGGTATGTGAATACCTAAAAACATTCGCCTGTTAGAATACTATGTTGTGTCCAAATTTCTAAGCAATTGGTGAAGTATTTTGGGACATCTGAGGTCACTCACAAACTGACATTTTTGATCCCGAGCATGTTTTTACCTGTCACAGGTGTGACATCTATATAATAGTAGGTATGTGAATACATAAAAATATTCGTCTGTTAGAATGCTATGTTGTGTCCAAATTTCAAAGAAATCAGTGAAGTATTTTGTGAGATCTGAGGTCACTTACAAACTGATATTTACATGTTTATTTATACAGATAAATAAAGAAAAAAATAGAAAAAGGACAATACAAAAAAGCAGGTTTTCGTAATGTATAATACTAAAACTACTGCATCTAATAAAACAACATGTAAAACAAACATACTAACCTAAGACAGGCCTACACCAATATATACTAGACACACAACTACTAAAACTATTCTACAAACTATTTGCACTCACTGTCTGTTGTTTTTAGTATGTCTGTCTAATATATGTTTATTGGTGAATACATTGGAAACTGAAGTTTCTTCTTATTTTCTGTAAATATCCACGTCAGTCTAAAGGGGGAAACATACATACCTTGCTTCAATTAAGAATGGCCCAAACACACCATTGGGAAATCTCACCGTGAAGCATCTTGCCAAGAGACCATTCATAATGCATATCATAATACTATTCAGAGCTGGTATGGGGCTCACGTATTATGTACTTGAGTGTCACCCCCTCCAAAAAAACACAACAATTATGAAGTGAAAAGTGGCCCTTGTAACAAATGATCAAAAAACATTTCTACATCACAGAGTTACGCCTATTCTGCTGAAATTATTAATCAATGTAATATGATCTTATATTTTATCTGTGCGATACTTACTTTTATAGTCTATCTTTTAATAATAATAACAATTATCATTCCTATTTTTAAAAAATCTTGATTCCTAAAAGAAGCAAAAACATAACTTAAATCCAATAACATTGTTTTTGTTGTCCAAGTCATTTCCACCTTGTGATTATCCTCAGGTGAACCCATCATGGGGTTGTTTTGACAAGGTTTCTTTGGAGTGAGGGTTGCCATGGCCTTCCTTTGAGACTGAGAGAATGGAACTTGCTCAAAATCTCTCCCATTATCCAGCTTCTCTAAAACGTGTAGCTATACCAATGTGTTCCACATTGTACAGTTTTGAGTTATAGGAACTGATAAAAATAGTTGTAATATAGATTTGAAAAAAGTTACTGAAAATTTTTGTTTGACATTTACAGTATATTATGGTATTGCTGAACACTATGACCTGATGGAAGAATAAACCCCAGACCTTTATCGGTGTGTTTTGGTTTTGTTTTGGTTTTTTTTACATTAGATTCATAGACAGAAACCAACTTTTGTGGAACTTACATAATTTTTGTTACTGTGTGTAAAGGACAGTAACAAACAGTGCTTTGATTGTGCTTTTACAACAGTGGCTCCCAACCTGTGATCCGTGGACCACAAGAATGAAAATATGGTCCGCAGCCTCACCATTACTCCACCATTGCCTTGAAACCATGTGGCAACGAGAGCAGCTGGTCTCACAAAACCCTTTTATAGTGCCGAGGCAATGGAGATGTTGGGAGAGGAGAGGCTGA